CAGAAAAAGTTGTGCCACACCATGCCAAAATGGCACAGTAGGGGTCCTTCTGGATTTTTTTCAATTTAAATATCTATGATTTTTCAGTTATTTGTTTTATGGACAGCAAACTTCCTTCATCTGTAAGTTGTTATCGTTGTACTTTAGTATGTTTATTGCCTTCATTACAGAAAAAGTAAATTGTGAATGTAAACGTCTTTTGTTGTTAGGGCATTTAAATCTAATTTACTAAGGCCAAACATAATTACATTTCAAATGTTCCCATCCACATATTCGCCCTGAGTATTTACCAGGTTTACAATGGAACACCTTATCTGTCCTAGTTTCTATGTAAACAGAGCTGTTAATTATTGGCTTTCTCAAAACGTTTCTCGAAAAAGACCATTAGCCTGTGAGTTTCTTATGTAATGAGGTTACATTTCATCAAACATGGAAAACACCTCTACTTTTCATTTCTTTGGCGTCTAATTGCTGTGACTTATGTGGAACAAATGTTTTTTTTTTTTTTTTATATGTGAATAATTAAATTACCTTCTCCTTTAAAACATTTGTCACAAATCAATCAGGAGACCTGCTTCTCACCTGTGTGAGTTCTCATGTGTCTGGTCAAATGATGTTTTTGAGTAAAATTGTTGTTACAAATGGTACAGGAAAAGGGTTTCTCACCTGTGTGAATTCTCATGTGAGAAATCAAACTAATCTTTTGAGTAAAATTCTTCTTACATATCGTACAGGAAAAAGGCTTCTCACCTGTGTGAGTTCTGATGTGTGTATCAAGATAAAATTTCTGAGTGAAGCTTTTTCCACAGGACAGACAGTCAAAAGGCTTTTCACCTGTGTGAATTCTCATGTGAGAAGTCAAACTATCTTTTACAGTAAAATTCTTGCTACAGATGGTACATGAAAATGGCTTCTCAGCTGTGTGAGTTCTGACGTGTCTATCAAGATAAGATTTCTGAGTGAAGCTTTTTCCACAGGACGAACAATCAAAAGGATTCTCACCCGTGTGAATTCTCATGTGAGGAGTCAAACGACTTTTTCTCATAAAATTCTTGTTACAAATAGTACAGGAAAAGGGCTTCTCACCAGTGTGAATTCTCATGTGAGAAGTTAAACTATCTTTTACAGTAAAATTCTTGCTACAGATAGTACAGGAAAAAGGCTTCTCACCGGTGTGAATTCTCATGTGTCTCTTAAGATAAGATTTGTGAGTGAAGCTTTTTCCACAGGACAGACATTCAAAAGGATTCTCACCTGTGTGGATTCTCATGTGAGTTGTGAAACTACTTTTTACAATAAAATTCTTGTTACAAATGTTACAGGAAAAAGGCTTCTCACTTGTGTGAATTCTGATGTGTTTATCAAGACTAGATTTCTTAATGAACATTTTTCCACAGAACGGACATTCATGAATCTCCTGACCTGTGTGAGTTCTCATGTGAACCATTAAATGTTCTTCTTTTGGAAAGTTTTCTCCACACGTCAAACATTGGAAAGGTTTCTCTCCTGTATCATCAGTCTCCCGCATCAGAAAAAGCTGCTGTTCCTGCTCACTTATAGGGAGCTCCATGGTTTCCTCTTTTGTCCAGGGATGTTCTGGTTCTTGCTGCTCTTCTTTCATCTGCAGAGGTTCTGGTTCCTCTTGGTCCAAACTGGAATCCATCTCCAGTCCACAGAGCTGCTGGTCAGAGAAATCCTCCTCTTTTCCAACATAATCCTGCAGGCGGTCTGGAAAGACAAACAACAGAAAGACTTTCTATTGTAGGTTAAATAAAGGACACTTCCCTTTGATCATCCTTGTGTTGATTTAACTACATATAAACAGACTGAAACTACATCTCCCAGCATGCACAGCAGTTATGAAACCACAATTACAGGTTATAAAATACAGCTTAATGCTCTGCAATTTGGCAAGGTTAGGACCTCTACTTTTATAATTAAAGCTTTAAAATCTGATTACCTGCAGATTCTTAGCAATTAAAGAAAAGTTTAGAATAT